CTGGTCCTGCCATCTATGATTGGTATCTAAACCTTTTTCTAGTCTGTTTTCTGTAAAACAGAATCTGGGTGTGGTAAACTTCAGTTGTAAAACTTTTAGCCAATCCTAGTCGAAGGTGTCAATTTCAGTACCATGTTATTCCAATCACTGTATTTCAAGTTTGACAAATCATAGATGATAAGCAAAGCACGTGACAAAACATTGTTCTTTGTATTTTACAATATGAATGTGGGTGGTGCTTATTATATAGTAACTGCTGTTTTATGTAGATATTGTATTTATTATTGGTCAATAGTACTTTTTTTTTTTATAAGCCTTAGAAAACTTGTTCTGGAAAATACTACATGGGATGTATGTGACTTTTATTATTTTTCTATAGTAGCTTAAGTCATGCTGTTTCGTATATATATATAAATTAATCATTATATTGAAAAATTAACTCAAAATAGATATATTTTTCAGAAAAGAAGTTGATCCACAATTGTTAGGGTTAAGAGCTATCAAGTGGTGAGTGCAAGGTCTTTACATGAATTAGGCTTAGCACTCTGAACTGATAGAGTTTGTGAGTTTTTGTATTCTTTTGCATTTAGTAGTTTAAAGTTCAATAATATAGCATAACTTTATATTTAGTTCATAATAATAATAATATGATTCAGTATTTAGAATGATAAACTTGTGTGATTTGTATGTAATACTACTAGTACCAGTACCACATAAATATTTTATAATTTTCCTTCTTAGAATCTTTACTTTGTAGTTAGATCCACAGTTCTGTTGTTGTTGCTTTAGAATTAAAACAGTCTAACTGATACATATAAAGTTTATTCTGATGTTTTGAAAATGGTTTAAAACTCAGTGTACAAGTGACAACAATAAAACCCATATGTTGGTTGTGAAACAGACTAAACACATTAGTTTCAATAATACAGAAAGCTATGACATTCTCACAGTTGGGGTCTCAATATACTGAACAACTTAAGTTTCAAATTCCAAAATAAATCTTGCCTATCATGAGAGGAATGTGACCAGGACTAATCTTTTAAGTGCTGTAAAG